ACAGACAAATCTACACATATTCTATGAAAAGATAAAGACCTGGAGAGGAAAGGAGGAGATATAGAGGGTTTTATGTGTTTAAAATCTGGAACCAGAGACGATTCCTGTACAGTCAAAGAGTAGAAAATATAAAAATATTTGTCCACCACACTTAGCCGCCCCCGCTCAATGCTGCCCTGAACAGTGTGCCATAACAATTATAGAAAAATATGGGGGGCCGTTTAGGACAAAAAACAATTTTTCCGGTTCTCACAAATAAATAACAATAAATATTAGCACTTTTCTAAACTTTTCAGGTGGTCTTTAAGCTGAAAACTACAGGTTTAGTAAAAGGCAAACAAAATCACTCAGCTGATTTTGTGGAAAACTTCTTTCTATTAAAGAATCAATTTACAGAATCCGAGTGCAATGACTGACTATGATGTTATTTTGGTTGAAATCACCCAAAATTTGGTTTGCAGTACGATAAAATTTTGGAAGACTTTGCATTGTGTACAGTACACCAAGATAATCAGTATAATACTGCATCACAGAGAAAATTGAACGTTGAACTACAGCAGATGTTTTTTATATGTTTGAAATTTCACAATTTATACCTTTAAGCCTTTTTTTGCACCATATATGGAGTTCCAATGACTCCAACGTGGATTAACAAAATCATATAAGTTTTCTTTTAATTTCATTCTAATTGGAGACATATTTATGAGCAATACCTCGCTTTGCTGTATGCAAAAATAATTTCTGCTCAAAGTAAAGTTTGTTTGTTTGTTTTTATCCCGGAGGATCTCCCATAGAGTCTGTTTCCCTGCGCTCCGCCGTGCAGTAGCGCAGACTTGGTCACTAGAGGGGGGGATCTGCAGCACCTGTTTTGCCTGCATGCATGCATTGATGCGCGCTCCGCTTCCCTCGCCTACTTCGGCTCCGCTCGGGTCTCCTCGGACGGAGCAAACAGCCTCACTTAAACCACGCGCCTGTGTTGTCCTCCCATTGGCCCGTCGCCCCTCTGAGTGGGAGGGTCGGGTGTACGCGAAGGGGGCGCACTGTTTATAAGAGGCTGCCTCTCAGCGCCTCGCTGATACTGCTTGGTTCTCACTTGGAAGCTTTGGGGTGCTTTTAGAGGATAGTTAGAGACAAAACAGTGGAATTTATCACCTCTTAAGTAAGATTTTACACACAATCAACACGTTAAGGTCAGGAGCGCGACCCAGAGAGGGCGAGATGCGAGCTTCCATTAGAAATATGGACTAAGGACAATAACGAGGAACAGCTCCTGTCTCCAAGTAAGACCTCCAACTTTCATGTTTCATCTAAGACTTTTATGAACTTCGAAAACAGGGGTGCCTGCAGATGACAGTTTTGATTCCTGGGACTTTTTCACACACTTTTACGCACGCCTGCGCACCGGTCGATGTGCACTAAGTGAGAAACTTTCGAAGCCTGGTCATGCTGTTGTGACTAAAACAGCAGAGGGAGACGACTGATGGTTGGAATATACTTCTGACCAACAACAACAAACAAAAAAAAAGAGAGCGGGAGAGAACAGGGGGGCAGTAAATCAGGAAGAGAGCGCTCAGCAAAGTGAAGAGAGGACAACACAAGCCGGTGTCTCCAAAGTCAGCGGGCTCCAGTTACAGCCGCTTCAGGGGCTCCTGCTATTAAAGCCTTCATCTGACCTGGGATAAGTTGTCAACAAGAGCTGCGAGCGGAGGCGAACTGGCAGGTGTACAAGTTCATTTACATGCGGACGTATATTCGCTCCGCTATATATAGAAGCGGCCTGTCGAACGCGCAGCCTTTATAAGTTTCTCCTCCCACCCACCGGGCCTGCAGCACTTCCACGCACCGGGCGTGTGCGTGTGCCTATATATACACCATACAGGCTTTTAATTCCCTTCGCAATCTGCCCGCTGTCGGTTTGGCTGTGAGGCCAGGTGTCGTCGCATGGACTGACATGGCCACCGACCTCGCCATGAGCGCGGAGCTGCCTAACAGCCCTCTGGCCATTGAGTACGTCAACGACTTCGATCTGATGAAGTTTGAGGTGAAGAAGGAGCCGCTGGAGGCCGACCGCTTCTGTCATCGCCTGCCCTCCGGCTCACTGTCCTCCACGCCAATCAGCACCCCCTGCTCCTCCGTGCCTTCCTCGCCCAGCTTCTGCGCTCCGAGCCCGGGCGCGCAGCCCAACCAGGGCCTACCCGGTGGCGTGAACGGAGGCAGCAACAGCAACAACAGCAGCGGCAACAACAATCACAACAACACGGGCAAGCCTCAGCTGGAGGACCTGTACTGGATCCCCAGCTACCAGCACCACATCAACCCAGAGGCGCTGAATCTGACCCCGGAGGACGCAGTGGAGGCCCTGATAGGCAACGCTCACCATCACCACCATCATCACCAGGCCTACGACGGCTTCCGCGGGCAGCAGTACGTCGGAGAGGACCTGTCCGCGACCTCGGCCGCGCACCACCATCAGGCCCACCATCATCACCATCACCACCACCACGGCCACCACAGCCGCCTGGAGGACCGTTTCTCGGACGAGCAGCTAGTGAGCATGACTGTGCGGGAGCTGAATCGGCAGCTGCGGGGCTTCAGCAAGGAGGAGGTGATCCGCCTGAAGCAGAAGCGACGCACCCTGAAGAACCGCGGCTACGCGCAGTCCTGTCGCTTCAAGCGCGTCCAGCAGCGGCACATGTTGGAGACCGAGAAGTGCACCCTGCAGAATCAGGTGGAGCAGCTGAAGCAGGACGTGGCGCGCCTTGTCAAAGAGCGGGATCTGTACAAGGAGAAGTACGAGAAGCTGGCCAGCCGGACCTACAACTCCGGCGGGCCCGCGAACACAAGAGATCCGTCTGGGAAACAGGCCAGCACCGACTACTTCATGTGAAAGACATTACAGCCCTTGCCTCTACCCTCTTCTGACTCTAAAGATCTTTTCTGATTTGTGTTTACGGTTATTCCTCAACAAAAAAAAAGACGTTTAATCTCATCTTCTTAACAAATAAAGGTTAGGTGCGCACAAGCGTCACATCTGTGAGTCTTAAAGTTGTTAAACTTCTGCAAGTCCACAACAAACCAGTCAGGTCGGCACACGGGATCACTTTCAGTCTGCAGACCCTTTTCCTGTCAGAAGTCTTATAAACCAATGACTGTCTTAATCCAGAGAGAGCGCTGCGTTTGTGTTAGAAGAAGGCAGAAGCATCAGCACAGACCGCTGGAGGAGAATGCGCTGTGACGCACAGACTCTCAGTAATGCAAGTGTAATAGTCCTCTCATCCTTTTGCAACCCTGCATGCAGGACATGTATGGTAACCTTCAGCCAAATCCCCTCCACATATGTATGGAAAGCATGACCCATGGGTTCTCCCCCATCCATGCATCCCTTCCTCTGCCATCTGTAAGGCCTGGGTATGCAGAAAAGCCCCCGCGAGAGGTGTGAACTGAAGTGCAAAAAAACAAAACAAAAAAAAAACAACAAAAAACAATCTGCTTCACTGCAAAACTTATGGATGCGTCTCTACCTGCTTTTTTCAATCAGTTTTTTCTATTATTTTAAAAGGAAAAGAAAAACGACAAAAAGAGATTACCTGAGCCAGATTTTAGACTGTATTTATTTCCACCTGTATATATTATGTAGAGAAAAAAACAAGCAGTGATCTGTGTTGTTTTATCTTTGCTCTTTTTAAGGCTTTTGTTGCTTGGATTCTTCGAAATGTCTTAATCCAAATGTTTGTATGTTACAGCATGCAAATTGTCTGTGGTATCCTCCTCCTCCTGCTGAACATGTTGAACCTGCACTAAAGAGCAAACTGGAGATATGTTTTGTTTTTAACCTGGATGTAAATTTGATTTAAAGGATGGGAAAGGACTGCTGCTAAAACTCTATGCACCAATCTGAAGATTAAAAAGATTTAATGATTTATTTTCTCTCTCTCTGTTTTTTAATTTTCATTTTAGATAATGAGTTGTTGGGCCTGCGGGGTTTCCCTTGCAGCCCGGTGTCTTAAGAAGGGGAGGATGCTTGATTGTTAGAAAAACTAACGGGACATTTTGCCATCATTACTCTGTCAAAAAGTTCGTGTGTCATCTGCTGTCTAGATATATGTGCAATATTGTGCAGAAGCGTTCTGGTGTTTGAATAAAATAAAATCGTTTTTTTCATGTCAAAATTCTATCATAGAATTTACAGTAATTTCCGACCAATTAAATAAATCATTTTTAATAGACCTTTGAAAATCAGTATAATTGGATCGGTATTTGGACTCAGACTTCTGCACAGTGCTGTGGATGTATATCTGTACATATGATTTCTACATTTATCTAACGGACCTGTCCTGATCTGTTAGCAAGTGGAAACATCTGCAAAGTGGGAAAAAAAAAGTGTTTGAGAAACTCTTGTTTTCATATTGTTTAATAAAAAGTTCTGTCCCAAATCTGTGACACTGCTGCTGTCTGCTTGTTACAACAAAGGATTTTCTACAAAAAGTTAAATATTATCAATAATATTATAAGAAGAACAAATTAATTTAATAGAAATCAAATTATTTAGAACCTTCTATCAGATATTATCGGTTCTATTTTTTTTTTTGTACTTTTTTTAATCAATTTTATTATTTTTATTTATTAATTATTTTTTTGCCTATAAGCGACTTCGGAACTGGGTTTGGATTTGCAACAATTACAAAAAACGAAAATAGAAATTTCCGAAATGATATGCAGCCTAAGATGTTCCTGTTAGAAGAAAATGAAAAAGAAAAAGCTATGAAAATAAAATAAATGCGCAACTTAAAATAGGCGATTCGTTCTAAATTAATCCATATTACAGCTGATTTGATTTTCATAATATAGGCCTATATCTCTAATTGATTTATCTAATAAAAATGGGGGGGAAATGAGTGATACGGGTTTTGCGCGCATATAAAACATGCTTTATTATTTAGATAATTTAAATATATCAATATCAACTATGTTAATAATATTAACATATATTTTATTTATAATAAAGAAATATCGTATTATTTATTTTTATAGACGTTTTTTCCCCCTCGTTTTTGTTTTCAAGAGAGGCTCTACCCGGTGAAGCCTGAACCCGGAGCTTTTCTCAGAGGGCCGCATTTGGTTTGTCGCCCCGCATCAGAGCGCAGGATGTTTGGGCAGAGGATGATCTGACCTTTTGCATCCCTGCTTTCATTTTCAGATCTGTTTGCGCGTGTTTCTGTCTTTGAAAGACAGAAGGACCGAACCCTCCCTGCCCTATCCAAACTCCGGCTGCTTGACTGCGGGCCTCTGCGCGCAACTTCCAAGTCAGACGGCTGTGTGAAGCTCACTGCTTCCCTCTGAACCATTAAACTTCCCTGTTCACCTCGGGATAACTTCGTGACATCTTGTTGTTCTGTGCTGGGAGGGTAGCGTGCACGCGTTCTCGTGCCCGTGCCTGCCCTAAATGGGTCTGTTTATGGCCGTAAGATGGGGCGCAAAGCTGGAGACAAGCGCCATCCAGGGTTGGTTCTGATGTGACACCGCCGTCAGGTCCGGCGGCTTGTGGCTCACTTCAAACACGGATCATAACCCGCCGTGACGGAGTGTGTGATTAGGAAACGGTGTGTGTAATTGTGTGTGTCTGTCTGTGTGTGGAGACCGCGGGATGGGTGCAGGTCAGTGATGCGTCACTGAAGCTACAGCTGCTTTCTGTTTGACCCTCTGGTGTGGCTTTTAATGCCAAAGTTTATATATCGTTATTAAAAACTGTAGTTTGGCATTAGAGTTTGTTTGTTGTTGATTTGTTTAGAATTTTTCTTATTTTTAGAATGCATATATATATATGTGTGTGTATGTATGAATGTAATCAGCTTTTATCGCTGAGCCAAACCCTTATTCTGCATCATTATTACTATTTCTCTTTGTGAAAATCGAGAAGAGAAATTTATTTTAGGTCACATATAGAACAAACAAGCACAAAAATCAAATAATGTTCTTTAACACAACCGATTTAAATAAGAAATAATTCATGCATCATTTGGGTTCGATCGAGCTTCAATATGATATCATAAAACTAAATTCAAATGTTAGACGGTAAAAAGTCTGTGGATTTGGTGATGACTTTTATATTCTAATAGATAAAACTTCCTTTTTCTGTTACAGCTTTTTTCTGTTTTAATTTGCTGTGCAAGCTTTCACACCTTTGATATGACATAACATAATTGACAAATCATTATCTTTAAGATATTTTGTTTAATGAATTTAATTATATCCTTTAGCTGATTGCTCGAAATTGAAAAGCAGCATTTTTCAGTTCAAAATTAGTCAGTTTTCATTTATCATAGTCTTTTAATAGAGCAATAATAAAGATGGATGTTTTTAGCTGATAGGAGTGCATGCATCTTTCTTATCTCTGCAATCCAACTTTCCAAATTAACTAAAATTTGCTGAGTCTTTTTATGGGTTGAACATTCAGCTTTGAGTTGAAATCTTAATTTTCTCCTTATATCTCTTTTCTTGGTCTCTTTTTTTTTCCTCTTCAGCCTCTCCATCACTCTGCTCCTCTTCCTGGTTTTGCTGACTCAGAGGAAACGCTGAGCTGTGTGACAGCCGTCACCTCGCACTGAGATGGGAAGCGTGTGTGTCTGTCTGTGTGTACCTGAGGCAGGATGTGGTGGTATGCTGTAGACTGAAGGGGGCTCACTGTGTGTGTGTGTGTGTGTGGTAGAGAGAGATATCACTGTGACTACTCTGAGGGCTTTTCTTTCTATAAATCAGGGCAGAGTCCATCTGAGCTCAAACAAAGCGACTGAGGAGGGATGGAGGGAAACAGAGATGGAAGCAGGGGGGGCGGCTGTGGTGCGTCTCTGGCGTCTGCTGCTGCTGAGATTTGACACAGTCAGCGTCTCTTCGGCTCAGCTTACCTACAGTATACCTACACACACACACACACACACACACACACTTGCATCTGCGCGTCATAAACAGAGTGCAGACAAACAGCAGCTGATGGATTCACATCCTTTTAATCAACCTGATAATGACCTCCTTCCCCTCACCATTGCATTGCTGCTGAACACTTCAGCAGGTAGAAGCTTTGGGGAATTTATTTTCACAAAGTTTGTTTGATGATTTCCACAATCCTGGAAGAGTCTTTTTTTTTAAAACCTTCATACTAGCACATGCATTAAGCTGATTCGTTGGTATACCCTTTTTATTCAGTGCTGAATATCAAAGAGAAGTACTAGTAAATATCCAACTCCTGTCATCTATGAAAACAACCAGTTCGACGACTTTAAGGTCAGTTTAACCAGAGATACCTCTTTCCACTGAGCTGAGCAACTTTCCAAAACACAAGTACTGGCATACAACCATGGAAATATGATTAAACCACCCTTGTTCTCTTTTAGATCAAGGAACTGAAAAAAAACAAGGGTTTAAAATGTATTCTATGGCTGTATAATTTGCTTGAGCATCCAAAACTCCAAATAAAAAAGAAAGAAATACTGGTATACATTCTAAAGCCAGGCTGGGGTAATGATAGGCAGAATCTTCATTAAAATACAATTAGGTAGCCTAACCAGATGTTATGTCTGTGGAAAGCAAAGACAAGGAGAAAGGAAACATGTCTTTATAGTGGAGAAATCTGTCCTCTGCATTTGGTGGAACAGAGAGCTGCTATCCTGAGTTGAACTCAGGGGGCATTCTGGGTTTAGGGATCTTGCTCAGGGACTCCAGAGTGAGTCTGACCTCAGAACAGGTGATCTTGCGGTCACTCCAGTATGCACACACCTCTATAGGCCGCTGCTCCCCACTGCTTCACCCTTTGAGAGTTTTTATCATTTCTCTACAAGTTCCCACCCAAATCTGAACAACACAGCTGTGTCTGTCATTAAGGATGAGCAGATAATTAAGATGAAACAAAAGATCAGCATTTCAGCTTTAAATATTCCTTGGGAAATAGCACCATTTCTGGTGGAAGACATATTTATTTTGATATTATATTTTATATTTTCATAGCACATCCTTGTTTTTGGGCTGCTCCGTGGAGCAGTGGGTAGCACTGCTGCCCTGCAGCAAGAAGGTTCTGGGTTTGATTCCCGGCCCAGGTTCTTTCTGCATGGAGTATGCATGTTCTCCCTGAGCATGCATGGGTTCTCGCCGGGTACTCTGGCTTCCTCCCACAGTCCAAAAACATGACTGTTAGGTTAATTGGCTTCTCTAAATTGTCCTTAGGTGTGTGTGTGTGTCAATGATTGTTTGTCCTATGTGTTGCTCTGCAATGGACTGGCGACCTGTCCAGGGTGTGACCTGCCTCTCACCTGTTGACTGCTGGAGATAGGCACCAGCACCCCTCGCAACCCCACTCTGGACAAGCGTGTCAGATGATGGATGGATCCTTGTTTTGAGACACTTGTTTTTAATCAGTCTATTTCACTTTAGATTCCAACTCAGCAGATCAATAAAAGGTGAACAGACCGATGGGACAGTCGGAAACCTCAAACTTTCTCTCCGATTGTGTCCCCATCATCTATCACTACTAAATGGTTCCATCTCAAACATAAGGGGATAAGATGCAATTATGTAAACATAAAAGTAGATTTTTGCAGTAGGCCTATGCTGCAAAAAAACCTAGCAACCTAGCAAAAATATGCTCACCTATACCCAACAAAGATAATTAAATTATTTTATTCACATTCATCCACTTTTACAACTGACTAATAAAAACACACAGCAAACAGTTTGGCAAATTACATTTGTTTGTTTTTGATAATGAGAAAATAATTTTAGCATTTATAGTGAAACCCCAAATTATTCACACACCTTAACATTTTAGGTGTGAAAAAATCATCTTTCAACTTTTCAACCTATTTTATGGTAAATGAGATAATTATCTGTCAAACAATAAGAAGCAGTGTAAATTATTGGTATTTAGAAATAAGAAAATGTTTTCTGAATTAAGGGTAAATACCCTTAATTTAAAAAAATGTTACTTATTTCTAGATTGTTTTTCCAGTGTTCGTGTAGATCTCTCAGAGGTCAATATGATGATTTACCAATGGAATGAGTATTTTTACTCTTAAAATAGGATAATCAGATAATATGCTATTGAAATAAGGCAATGGCATTGTTCTTTCTTATTTTAATTGTAAATTGTCGCGTTCCATTAGCAAAGCCTAAAGTTCAAGAAAAAGGGCACTTATTTTAAGAAAAAAATGACTTACCAAGATTTTATTTTTTTCAGTGATTTTTATTGAAATAGATTTTTTACTAATTAAATATGTATTGGTGTTGTTTGCAAAAGTGCAAAAATGCATCTCTTCTCTCCCTGAATGCAACAAGTTGCGTTCAGAAGTTGCTTGATGATTGCTAATGACAAATAGTCAAGAGTCCACCTGTGTGTAATCTAACCTCAGTACAAATACAGCTGCCCTGAGACGGCCTC